CCAGTAGTGGCAACCACTTCAGCCAACTTGTAGGGGCAAGTCACCCGCTCAGGGGGCAGCTGTGCAGACTGCTGCCTCAGACTTCACTGCCAGCCCCCTGCCTGCACTCTGATCTGGGCTGGTGAGCCAGGGTTCTGGTAGGCTGCTCACAGCCTTCCTGATACTCTTGTCAAGTGTCTCAACCATCTTAGCCTGGTGAAGCCCAGCCCTGCCCTGGGGGACACCCTGGGGCAGGGGTGCAGTGGTGGCTCTCAGAAGGACTGGCCTAGAAAGGCTGGAGATGAGATGGGAACCCAAACCTAGCTGAATAAAAGGTGGCCTCCTGTTAGCTGTGTCAACTGTGATTCTTCATCTGAAATTCATGGGTCAGAGGGGCCGGAGCGAATCTGTGAGGGGCCTGGTGGGGGTCTTTGGATAAAGACTCCTGAAGACAAGGAAGCAGGGAGGGGTGTGTACACCTGAAAAAAAAAAACGGGGATAAGGGGGGAGGTGACACTGGGACACAGAGGTGGCCTGAGAAAGAACCCAGAAATCACCTCCCTGCCATGCCTGGCGGCCCTGAAGGAAGGAGGAAACGAAACTTAGGCTGGTTCCAGTGGGCCTGCCCTTGACCCGGCCTCAGTCTGCGCCAGTGACTGTCTCTTCTACGGCCAGCCCATGCCCCTCTCTAGCTGGCACGGTGCCCCTAAGGCAGCTCTATTCTTAGTTGTCCAGGTGTGAAGCAAATCCTTGGGCCACAGATAACAGTGGAAGAGTCAACATAGCCGTGATAAGCTGGGGCTGGGACAGATCCGGGTGCTGCTGGCACCACGCCCTGGCTCTCTGCCATCCCACCCACCACTGCCTCTGGGTGGGCTCTCTGGCACCCTGGGAATGAGGAAGTGGTTCTAGTTCCCTGACCCCTTTGGGCCCAGACATCCTACCATGCCCACAGCCACATCCCTGCGGGTCCACGGCTATGGTTCAGATATCCAAGTTGGGCATGATGCTAGCAGTCAGTGCTGAGCCCCACCCTGGCAGTGAGTGTCAGCTGGGGCCCGGATCTTAGGTGTAGCAGGAGGTGGTGCACACCTAACTTAGGGACCTCCATCTCCTGGGTGCCATCGCCACGTCAATCAGAAATGGTCACATTCGCCGGGCGTTGGTGGCACATGCCTTTAATCCCAGCACTCGGGAGACAGAGGCAGGTGGATCTCTGTGAGTTCGAGGCCAGCCTGGTCTCCAGAGAGAGTGCCAGGATAGGCCCCAAATCTACACAGAGAAACCCTGTCTCGAAAAACCGGAAAAAAAAAAAAAAAAAGAAATGGTCACACTCTGGGAAATGGTCATACTCTGGGAAAACAGAAATGTGCCTGGTGTCACAGTTTATTGTTTATAAACCATGAGAATCACAGCTGTTGCTCAGCATAGGCCTAGCAATGCCCACTGCAAGGAGGCAGTAGCAGGCACCAGAGGCCTAGCTTGGCCCAACCCAGCGGGGACACCAGCCTCGGCTGAGTTCCCAAGGGAGACTTGGCACGTTGGCATGGGTGCAGGGTAGGTAAAGCATGCAAGAGGGAGAAGAGGGACAGAAGGGACATGCGGCTGGGGGTATAGGGACCTAAATAAAATGGTAGGTTCTCCTCCCTCTCACTGGGGAGGCTCAAAGCCTGGCTGCCAAGGCTGTAGTTCAGCATCATTGGAGCAGGGAGCTTGGCAAGGCAAAGGGCAGAGCTGTCGATCACACCCACTGTTCTAGGTGCCCTCCCTCCCTGTAAGCCTGGGTGGTGGGGGGGCAAGACAGGGATGGGATAGGGGCTTTCTATGTCTTGGTTAAGACGGCAGGGCCTGGGGCAGAGACTTGGTGGGCCTGGGGGCCCAGGCCAACAGGTAACACAGAGAATGGAGGACATCCAGAGGTAATCAGGGGAGAGCCCCTTAGTCAGGGAAGCCCTGGGAAGACACAGCTGGCAAGGTATACAGGGCAGGACCACATAGTTAGGAAAAGTCTGGGGAGAAGCTGCTGGGCAAACAACCCGCTGCCTGGAGGCCGGGGAGCAGAGCTTAGGTCTGGAAAGGGGGGCTGAAAGACTCAGTCCAGTTTGGCAAAGCCCCCGATGGTGACTTTCCTCTCAGGCTTGGTGCCCACAGGCTCCTGCAGCTGAACAGCGCCACCACCAATGAAGCAGAAGGCAGGGCACACAGGCCCTGAGCAGTCCAGGGGGCACTCGAGGAGCCCACGGAAGGACACAGCATCCAGGAAGGAAACTCGCCCCCGCTCGTAGTCCAAGCAGATGCCCAGGCGGGGTGGCAGGGGCACTGTGCAGCCAGCTGCTGGGCCATCCCTCCCGGTCAGCCCTGCATTCGAACTTGCTCCGGAACCCAGAAGGATCTTGCCCATGCCAATGGTGAGGAAAGCAAAGGGTGGCAAGGCCTCTACCGTAGCATCTTCGGCACCGCTGTCATGTCCGCTGTCTGGGTCGTACCTGTAGGAGTGGGAATCGGGAAGGAGGATGTTGGGAGCCAGAGGAAGGGAATGGGGGAGGGACCGGGGAGCTGAAATGTTGGAAGGATGGAATGTTGGGGAACAAGAGGTTGCAGGTATTAAGGTGAACACAGGTTAAGGGGGCAAGGGTTAGGGTGTCGGGCTCGGGGCTCCAGTTTGCGTAAGAAAGAAGTAAGGAAAGGAAAGTGCACAAGAAAGGTGAGGTGGGGAGGGAGAGATGGGAGGTTGCTATAGCACACTGAAGAAATATGGGGCTTGTCAGGCAGGACAAAAGGTGCTGAGGAAAACGGTGCTAGGGAAGTCAGGTTAGCGAACCGTGTTGACAGCTGGCGATGCTGGAAGGATGACAGCACAGTGACTAAGATGTGGTGGGGAAGGCCGGGGGCAGAGCAAGGGCGACGGTCGGGAGATGAAGATGGACTGGTGTCGGGATTCTAGAGGGACACACGAGCGAGCGGGGACAACAGAATTCCAACGGGAATTTGGGCTGGGAGAAGGCATTTGAAGGGTGGAGGACTCAGGAGAGAGGGCTCTGGAGGGAAATGTGGGAAGAGGTATTAATGGCATCGGCGGCAAGGAGGGCTGTGGAGATACGTTTAAGGGAAGAACTATGAGATGCCGAGAAAGAGGTAGGCGAAGGAGGTCTTGGAGAAACAACTTCTCATAGAAATAAAGCACTAGGGGAAAGGTCACGGGAGGTCAGATACTGGTCCCGAGTGACAGACAGAAGGAAGAGGTGATGGCTCTGCTTTCTATCAACCTTTCCCCCAACTATACACTCTGAAAGCCAGTCCTCAAAAGACCCATCTGCTGAGCCCACATCTTTTCCATGCATAAGCCCCCCAGTCTGGCTTCCATGCTACTTGTTCTTACCACTCCCCAACCCCACCCTAGCAAGTCTGTGTTCCCTGCACCGCCCTTGCCAGCCCCAGCTCCTTCCCCAGGGCTTCATCCCCACCCCTTGCAGCAGAAGGGCCTGACCTGGGGCTGATCACATCCGGGGCACCCTGGAAGCTTTCCTGAAGCTTGCTCTCCAGCCCGACGCCCACCTTGACCAAGTAGGAGGCAGGGTCTACTGCACAGGCCCAGTAGCTGCGGCCCTGGGTCACAGCCACATCACCCAGGACCACGTCCACACTCAGATGGCAGCCTGTGAGCAGCCGCTCGGCAGCCAGCAGCAAGGGAAGCCCTGGAATGCTCCGCACCGCTCGCTGGTCCTTGCTGATAGCTAGCCGCTCTCGGCTGGCGCCCCAGCGGCCATCAAGGAAGAAGTGCAGGACTAGAGGCAGGAGGGGGTTAAGACAGAAGGAAAGGTTTCAGGAACACACTGGCACTGGGGATCGTGAGGTGTCGGCACAGACACTGGGAATTTTGGGCACAGGGAATAAGATGTTAAAGGGGTTCAGTTACCAGGAACTGGAAGGGGCCCAAAGGAATAGGGCGTGGGGAACTGAAAGAGAAGAAAGGGGCATAGGCATGGGACCCCAGAAAGAGCTGCAGGGATGACTCGTGGGCAAAGAAAACAGTGTCCCATCTCTAGTTGACTTAGGGTTTCTACAACCCGTTTTCAATGGTTGGCCCTGTGGGCCATCTCCACTGTCATCCTGTTACATCTGGTCACATTCCTGACACCACTGACATGGACCTTCCGTCCCATGCTCCGATGCTCATGCCTGATCCCTATACCCAACTTTGTCTCTTTTGCCCTTTACCCCAGTGGTGAGCACACTTGGCAAGCCACTATTTTAACACTGACTGAGCCCTTACTGTGAGTCAGAAGCTAAGTCTTTACATGTGCCATCTTACGATGTGTTAATTACCAAACTCCCTATTAAGTATTATTATTACCTCCATAGAAGAAGATTCTGAAAGCTCAGAGAAGGAAAAAGTTGTGGCTAAGGACACACAGTGGTCAAGGGGCAAAGGTGGGTTTTGAACCCCGGGCAGTTTAGCTCCGGAGGAAACAAGTGTAATCCACACACTAAATTGTACAAATTACATAAAGCAAATTGTATTAAATTGCTCTTCCCATGCCCATTGGGAATCAGCCGAGTACCTGAGCCATCTTGTACCCTCTGCTTGAGCGTCTAAGGTGGGCCCATGAGACCACTGTCTGTCTGCTCACCAGGTGCTGGAGGCGTGTGCAGGTGTACATCTTCACTGTATTCTCCATAGCCAGCCTTGTTGCAGCCACGAACACGAAGTACATACACAGAGCCTGTATCAGGGTTCTCGAGAAGGGCACTGGTGCCCCTCACCTCCTCCCGTCGCTGCCAGCGTGCAGGGCCTGGCTGGGCAGGGACATCGGTGCGCCGGAACTCAACAGTGTAATGCCAGGCAGGTGGTGAGTGGGGGGGCAGCCGCCAGCACAGGAAGATTTGGTCATAGGCAAAGGTGCGCTGGGTGTCGATGACAGGAGCCTCCGGCACTGTTGGAAGAGACAACAGGGGTCAGTCAGGGTCTGGCCACTGGCCTGGCATGGAGAGTGGGGCAGGCAGGAAAGAGGAAGCAGCGGGAGCCGGGGGGGTGAGTGTAGGTGAGGGAGCTGGGGGAAGGAACCTGGGTGGGCAAGACAGGCCCCAAAGGAGAAAGAAGTGGTCAAGTGCTGGGCAGGGGGTAGGAGCCCAAGCTCTGGTCCTAGTTTGCCACTACCCTACTTTGGCCTGAAGTAAGCCACTTTCCCTCTCTGGGCCTCAGTTTCCTCAAATGGCAGCATCAGACCAAGTGAGCTCTGAGGACCCTTATGGGTTAGTCTTTGAGTTAAGAGGAGCCCCAGAATGAGGCAGGCAAAGGCCACTGGAACCCAGGCAAGAGAGCCCTGAGCAGGAAGGGGTGCAGAAGAA